ACATGCCAATGAGATCGCTCCGAACACTTGGAGCCTCGTGGGCTACCTGGAAGTGCCTAACTGCAAACGGCCCAGGCCAGTATCTGAAACTGGGCATAGGCGCAGATACTTGGGCCAACCCGAAGCTACTGGGCCCCTACATGCCAGGCCCAGACCAGCCACCGGCCGGGCGCACTTTCCATAAAGGAAAGTGGGCGCCCAGGGGCAGGGTATTCTGGCCTGAATGGGCAATGCGGCCACGCTGCTGCATTAGCGCACGAAGCACCTGCGCTAGCACTGCGGGCCAGACGCGCGCACGGGCGCAGAGGTGAGAGAGGGGCGCTGCTGTGGCAGCGGTGCACAGCGGGCCATAGCCGTTCTGCTGGGCGCAGGTGCAGTGATGGCAAATGGTCTTCGGGTAGGAGGTGCATGCAGTTGGGGAGACAGGGTGTGATGAGGGAAGGAGAGACAAACATACCTGGTGTATGCTGGCGGTCTGCATGGGTGATGACGTCACGTACATTGGTCTTCAACTTCGATGTGATCTTGTTGCATGAATGTAGATAGGCTAGATAGGCCGAGTAATGTATGCTGGGTGCTGAGCGCCAATCTGTAGGAGTGACATTGGTTGGTGTGGCCAGAGAGCGTCGGCATTGACATTTGAGTTCATTGTATTGCTCTTATTTGGATGGTATCTTGGTGCATTGTGCTCTCTGCTTGGTACATGACTATCTGGACTACACCGTATTTTTGCAATTTGGCTGTCTATCGGTCGCTCATATTCCTTGCAATTTGGTATCGGAGCTGGTTCGATATCGCTCATCATCGGTGCTGGTGCTTTTGTTACTTGGTGCGCTGATGAAGCTTCTCCGCAGTGAGGATACATTGGCGCTGGCTGGTTACGCCACTCCAGGGTAGAGGGGAGTGTGGCCGGAAGGCTGTGGCGACACCGTGGGAGCTTTGGCGACAGCGGATGTTTGTGGAATGATGAGGGCATGCTGACATTGCATTTTGGCTGACGTGGCACTTTATTGCATTGTGTGTGGTTCCGAGGCTATGACCGGTCATCAAAATGCACGTCGGCTCAATTGGTGACAAATCTGTCGTTGGGGGCAGCTATCTTCAGGTACGTTGTTCCCTTACCTTATCTTCCCGTCTCAATTTCTTCTTACCGTGAGGAAGAGAGTTCGATTTGAGTGTCCTCTTCTGGTTCAGGAGTCGTGAGCACTCTACCTTGAGAGTCAACATTCTTCCTGGTCCCGCATCTGGCAGGAGAGGGCGGTGCCTCTGAAGGGCCCTGGATGAAGCATGGGTCACGGTCACCATGCCAACCCACAGGAGTAGAGCACGCAGGCTTTGCTGCATTGTCCTCTTGCTGCGCTGTAGAGGGAAGTGGGGTGAGTCAGCCTGCGGGGGTCGATGCATACCGCACCGTCGTTAAAGATACTCCGGCGGGGAAACCGACTCGCACCATATGTGAGGATAATCCCAGGCTGGCTTGCTTCGCATTACCTGGGCACACGGGTGGGCCGATGTTCACACCATACACACCGCTGCTCGAAAATGCAAACAGGAACGTTGGATACAGGGGAGGGATTCTAATTGGGGCTCGAACACGAACACGATTATTTCCATTTCTGCATACATCTGCGCAAGTGATTTATTTTCACTTTTGATTAGTTGAGGTGTGACGGACTGCTAACATCTGACCAGACAGCAGCAGAGTAGAACTGTAGTAGTCTACCATTTCCAGTTCTGTTCGATGCTGCTATTTGAGAACTAATCGAGGTAAGAGTAGATCATTTGCACAGTCTGTGTACATTCTGTTGACACCACCTGAACGGTACCCTGGGTGACTTGCCAAATATTTATTTATTTTTATTTATTTTACATCTCTGTCAGACACATTCTGTGGTAGGCCCCAGCGAGGGCACTAGTACAGCCAGTGATCTGTTCTAGCTGATGAGCGGAACAGGTAGTGAGTGAAGTACAGCTGACGACAGGAGGCGGACACGCGGGGATACTCGCCGTATTCCCATCACGTTCCAGGTCCTGTTGCCAGGGGACGAGAGAAGGTTCCAGGCTGAAGCA